GTTCTTGATTTCATCACAAGTCTTTCCTACTAAACGACCATCCAATGTGAATTTTTGCACGCGTTTAGCATAACTATCACACACCAGTAGATGATGGTCATTATCAATAGCCAGGTCACATGGTTTATTCAGCTGACCATCAGCACTGCCTTCACCACCAATCGTCGATATTCTAGTCGGTACGTTACCTTTCTTCTCAAATACATGAATAACATGATTATTCTTATCACTGACGTAAAACAGTCCATCATGTGTTATCACATCATATGGATCAAACTTGTCCTGTGTTGTCAAACCAAACTGATATTCATAGTCACCGTCTCTTGTGAAGACTTGAACACGATGATTACCACCATCACACACAATGATGTTACCATCGTCATCAACGTGTACTCCATATGGATTATCAAACTGTCTATCTCCGTTACCTTGGTTACCAAAGGTTTTTACCAATGTCCCTGTTGTAGTGTTCACTATACATATTCTATGATTACCCCAGTCTGCTATGACTAAATCTGTATCATTCAGAAATGCTACACCTTGAGGACTATCTGACAACTGCCCCTGTGCACTACCTCGACTACCATACGTCAGTAAGAGATCTCCATCATTGGTTAACACATGGACACAGTCAAAAAAATTATTTGAAACAGCGATCCTGCTATTGTCTCTATTTACTGCTATACCTTTTAAATTACTAGATCCTATATTTACACCTTTCATTTTAAGCTTTCCTGATGTTTTCATTTTTTGTGGCTTCACATTCACCACTAGTGGACTGTTAGATACATGATTCCCATTCACTTGAACCTCTGCTGTCAACTGACCAGCTACTTTAGCCATGAATTCAACTTCTACTTTACCATCAGTTCTCACATATTTCTTTTCTATTTTCACATTTTCTTCAGGCTTGATTTGAACGTCTATAACATCCCTTGCATCATAATTGACTTCTCCTGTAAAGGATTTAGTTATCAACACTAGCATCTCTTTCTTTAACGCTTCTGTCTCAGATTTCACCTGAATAGTGCTCTCCGTATGKTCTGTTTTCAAACAAGTTTGTATTTCTCCCAGTCCTGAAATAACTTGTCCCATCAGCCCTTGATTGGGATGAAATTCAATTCTTGRGGATGATAAAAAGTGGTTAAAGATGAATTTCTGAGAGCATTGTGTCTCTTGAATGTTCATCATTTCACTTGCCAGTCCTCTTTCCATCACATTCTTGATGTATT